TTACAAAACACTCCAATTGGGTTCAGAGAGATAGTACAGCATTTAAGGCATTTGCCTTGCATGTGGCAAACTGGGATTCCATTCCCAACATCCTTATGGTCCCCTGAGCCCTGCCAGAAGTGATTCCTGAGTGTAGGGACAGGAATAAGCTCTGGTGTAGCTGGGTGTGGCTCAAAAATGAATGAATGAATGAAGTAAAACACTCTTGGAGTGATAATACAGAGGGTAGCGTATTTGCTTTGCTCACAGCTGACCCAGGTTGGACCCCAGGACCACATGTGGTGCCCCAAGTCAGCCAGGAGTAATCCCAGAGCAAAAACTAAAACTAAAACCAAACAATCCAAATAAATAAAACGTGCTTACAGATGACAGTGAAAACCTAAACGAGGACAGCAATTTGGAATTAAGTAATAAGCCCATCATCCTTTCCCTGCCTACTGGTCCCTCCTGCTCCACTCCTCCACCCCATCTTCAGTCACCAAGAACAGATCAAGAAAAAGAACCCGGGGCCAGAGAGATAATGCAGGGGTGAAGGGACTTGCCTGGCATACCTGGCATCACATGGTCCCCCACAAGGGACCTCATTGGGAGCTATGCACAAGCACCCTTGGGTGTGGCCCAAATGTGCCAACCCCCCCCCAAAAAAAAGCATAAAAACTAAAGTCTCTGGGATTTCTGTTGTAATTATTGTTTATGGACCATACCTAGTGATGCTCTGGGCTTACTCCCTGGCTCTGTGCTCAGGGATCACTACTGGCAGACTTGGGTGACCATGGGGATCCCAGGGATCAAACCCAGGTTGGCCACGTGCAAGTCAAGAGCCCAACCTACAGCACCATCGCTGTTTTATGGACTGTCACAAATATCAAATAAAGCACCTCAAAACACTGATCTCTCTCATACAAGGCCGATTTCTCCAAGTGCTTGTTATTTCCTACAGAATATCCCATTTTAGTGCTCATTTCCCGGTGTAACCAAGCTCAAGCATTTTAAGAGTCACAGGTTTTCACACAGCTAGGATTATAGAAAAAAAGACAGACATACCTGATCAAATCTAGTTGCAAAGAGATTGAGTGATGTCACGATGCCACCATTGGGCCCAAGTCCATATCTAGACAGGATGTTCAGGGTTTAACTTTATCAATCAATCTGATGAGGTCCATACCGAGGTGATCATCAACACATGAGAACACCTGGTGTTTCACTAATGGAAACTAGTAGCCAATTCCTGACAAGTAAGCTCACCTTAACCAAGTAAGGAAACATTCATCAACAAAGTGATTAATGTTTGTGGAGAAAATATAACAGGAACATGTAAGGGACAAAATGTAACAGACAAGGAATACTCTGTGACAGTCTGCTGGCACTAAGCATTAAGATCCTCACTATATAATACTCTTGCCCTAACTCATTGATTAAGGCTTCTGATTATGTAATCAGTCTTCCTACCAAGACTAAAGGCAAAGTACACATATTCATTTCACAAAGTGATGTAGTAAAGTTGATCCAACGAAACCTGTGCATTACTGAGCTCCCCAGTCGGAAGCTGAGGTAACGAATGAAAGTTTCCATGGCAACACTCCCTTACAGACCCAGCGAAGCCAGCACTCTGCGGTTTCTAATCTCAACAGCAGTTGAGGTTGGGGAGAAGGTAACACCAAGCTCACCAGTTGAAATTCTATTTCTCATCACTCTACAACCACTTCCCACAATCATCTTCTAGCTGCCTCTTAAAATTATTTTAAAGCAGCTAAATGCTTTTACACACAAAAGGAAAACACTGTTTCAAAATCCGAAGGTCCATGAGATACTGGGGGGGTGAAATCAAAGTGGAAGCAGACATAGAAAAGGATACTGTTTCATGACTTCTTTATACTTCACAGTGTCACGAATATCTAGGGGGAGGAGAGGAGAATTAACTGTGATTTGTCAACTAAGAACCAACAAAGTTTGAAGAACCATAATAATCTAAGCTAATTAAGTACTTCTCAAGTACTATCTGCTTCTTCTTGAAGAGAAAAAAGTTTCTCTCTGTACCTATTCTCTCTGGGCTGGATAGCACAGCGGGTAAGGCATTTGCCTTGCACGCTGCTGAACCAAGTTCGATTCCTCTGCCCCTCTCGGGGAGCCTGGCAAGCTACCAAGAGTATCTCACCCGCACAGCAAAGCCTGGCAAGCTACCCATGATGTATTCGATATGCCAAACACAGTAACAGAAAGTCTCACAATGAAGACATTTCTGGGCCCGCTCGAGCAAATTGATGAACAACGAGAGGACAGTGCAGTGCTATCTATTCTCTCTATGTATTTAAATCTGTTTCCTAATCCATACTCACTTTTATGTGGGCAGAGAACTCCAGGTCAAGACAAGTTGGAGAAACTGTACATAAACTTCTCCCAAAAGTCATTCTCTAATTTGTTTTCCACTCTGAAGAAGCCCCGAATCTTGAACACAATCTCCCTCTTTCCCCTCACATTTCTCTAATTTCTTCAAATAAAATTATTTTGCTTCACTAAAAAACAAACATCTATTTTCTTTCTTTGGGGGTGGGGTGCTGGGGATTGAACCCAGGTGTTCTACACCTGCAAGGCAAGCATTCTACCACTGAGTCACATCCCTTATCCTGCTTTCAAATTCCTAAGCTGAGATCATGAGATTGTGCTAGAAAAGGCAGCGAAAGGATCGGGAGGTGATAGTACAATGGGTAGAGCGTTTGCCTTGCACGTAGCTGAGCCGGGTTCAATCCCCAGCATCCTATATGTCTCCCAAAGCAACGCCAGGAGTGATTTCTGAGTGAAAAGCCAGTAGGAACCCCTAAGCACCACCAGGTGTGTCCCAGAAACAAAAACAAAATAGAAAAAGCAGCAAGACAGAAAAGAACAAGCAAGGTACAAAAGGTGCCAGGAAAGTACCTTTTCTACCATCAAGAGACCGAAACTAGCCTTTTAGATCTCTCCTGTCCACATAGTCCCATTTAATCTCTCCTGCTTCTTCCTTACAAAGGATGGCCCCAATAACCCATGCGTAACAGTAGGCTAGGTGCCTCCAAGGTATGGTAAGTGGTCGAAGAGGATAAGGAAAGTTTACATACTTAAAGACCTTATCAGTTACCATATATATATAAAAAGGGGGAACCAAATAAAAAAAAAGTTTTATTCATTTGGGAGAAGAGGGAGATTAGGTCATACCTGGCAATGCTCAGGGTTTACTCCCGGCCATGCTCAAGAGACTATCTGCAGTGAAGGGGATCAACCAGGGTTCATGCATGCAAAATAAAGCACCCTACCTCCTGGACTACATCTCTCCACCCTGCCCCTACTTTTTGTGGGAAAGTCTTATGTTTTTGTCTACGATCAATGCACGCATGGCTTTTAAAATGGAATTAACCACCCAGGAAATCTAATTAAACCATCTACCAATCTATACACCATCTCCATCATCTATTAAAATCTCATCGTCCAAAAAATAGATAATTTTTTAAAATTTTAATGGACTAGAAAAGGTTGTAAGTGATTAGAGCACTTGCTTTCAACTGACAGAGTTCAATCCTGCACCCGCATTATGGTCCCCCAAGAACTCTGTCAGCAGTAAGTCCTAAGCAACACTGAAGTGTGGCTCAAAAAGAATTTTTTTTCTTTTTTCAAAGGTTTATGGATCAGAGCCAGCTACAGGGTTTGGGCCTAGAATTAAGAGGGCTGGCTTTTGAGCAGGAGAGAGACCACAGTGGATATGGTACCTGCAACTGGCGGCTCCTGATTTGATCCGAGGCACCACGTGTGGTTCCCTAAACACGCCCCCTGAACACAGAACCAGGAGCAGCCCCTGAGCACTGTCACGTGTGGCCCACCCCCAAAGAAAAGGAAACCCCAAACCACGAAAGCCCTGATGCATGCAGTCTGGAGGCTTGATGCCCGTTCTCGATGGCACGGCACACAGTTCCGCACCAGTTCACTCACCAATGTTGGCAGGAAAGGGAACCTCGTGCACCGCTGGGTCCAGGTTGATGACATACGGCGGAGAGCCTTGGCCATGCAGGTGGCCTGTGAGCCTCTGCGGAGAGATGGGCAGCGGGATGGTGTGAGACCACGACGCCACAGTTTCCATTCCTTTATCCACTTAACTGGAGACCTGGGCACGGGCTATTTCCAACTTACACATCCCATGTCCACCTCCAAAATTCAGAACGACTTTCAGGCGCACCCATCTCGTCCCTGGTTTACTGCGGGGCTATGCCACAACTCAGCACCCCTTAGACGGGGATCGCGTTCATCTCATTTTCGCGGGATCCCCAGCATTTGAAACAGTATTTACGCCAGGAAAAAAAAAAATGTCCCGTGTCCTAGCGCTCTCTGAACTCTGAATCTGCAGCCTGGGACTCTGGAAGCTTCTGGCAAGCGCAGATCAGAGGACAGGTGAGCGAGCACGAAGGGAAAGTGCGCGGAAGAAAACCTTAACTGCGCGCGGGGCAGGGTCCGAGGCGGGTGCTCGGGTGAAGGAGCCGGAGATCCCGGCGAAAGTTTCCCGGAGCCCCGCGCCCGCGCCCGCCACGCTCGCGAGCTTCTCGCCCTCCGCACCTAAAGCGGTCGCGCGCCCGACCCCCGCCGCCCAGGGCACGTCACCTGTACAAAGGTGGTCTTCCCAGAGCCAGCCATTCCCAGCACCAGCAGACACACGGGGAGCTGAGGGGCGGCCGCATCCTGCGGCGCAGCGGCAGCCACGGGCGCCGCCATCTTCCCCCTGGCCCCGCCCCCTGCTCCTACAAGTGTCGCGAGAGTCCAGAGACTTCCGCGATGTTCGGGCAGCCAATGAGGATCGAGGCCCTGTGGGAGGTCACGGGGCGAAGGGGCGGGAGCATCGGCTAGTTTCCGGCGGGCCCGGGTGAAACGGGGAGGGCCGGGAGAGGCCGCTCGCTGCGGGGCAGAGGGGCGCCCACCGCGGCAGGGCCGGTTCTGGCGGGGGCACCGGACCGTGCTTCCCGGCTATGGGACTCGAGCGGCGATCCTGAAAGTCGATCCGCCACCGATCGGAAATGAAAACGGTCCATTTCCTCCTGAAGCCCTTAGAGGCGAAGGGCGACGCCAAGAGAAAATCGACCGCTGGGCCTCGTCCGGCAGCCGAGCGGGAGGAGCGCCCCGGGGACTGGCCGTTCGGGTTTTGGCCAGAGCCCAACCTCCAGGACCCGGGAACGGAGAAACTTCGAAGGCCTTCCACGTGGAGGCGCCATTCCCGCGCGGCGCACAGGCCGCGCCCGGAGCCTCCGGGGGAAAGCTCGGAGGTCTGGGGGAACAAGTAGGTACCCCCAGGGACTCCGCAGCCGCCCATCGAAGCGTCCTCGGACCCCGAAACGGCGCCGACGAGGCCGAGAAGTGTTCCCACTCGTGCCCTCTTGGGTGCTGCAACGTGTATTCCAAGTGTCCCGTTTGGTTTGTTGGCTGCGCTTGGCGTTGCCTGGGGTTTAACTCCTGCTGCCTGCAAGACGAACGCCCCTACCCGCCGTCCTTCTTTCTCGTAGCCACTGTGCGAAGCACCAGCAAATCTCTCAGTTTCTCTTCACGATTGAGTAGAGCGGGGACCGTGGCTCGAGTACTTGCCTTGCACACTGTTCACCCGGGTCCCATCCCAGGCACCCCACATGATCCATGAGCATAGAGGAATAAGGCCTGTGTACCGCTGAGTGTGGCCCCCAAATTTGAAAAGATTTTAAATCGCGATCCCGCTTTAGGGATTGCAGTGAATTTGTATTAAAAATTGTGGATATCATTTCTTCTTCTGCTCCCTCTGGTTATAGACACCTCCCCCACACCCCCAACCTCCCTTCCCCTGCCACTGCACACACCTATCTCACTGTCAGGAACACTAGGTCGCTGAAAAATACTTCCTGTAGGAAAGTACAATTGTCACTTTTTTTTTGGTCCACCTCTAATCATCATCATCATCATCATCATCCTGTTATTCGTCGATTGCCTCGAGCAGGCCCCAGTAACGTCTCTTTCATCCTAACCCTGAGATATATTCAAGGCTCTTTAGGAGAATGAGACCCATCATTGTTACTGGTATTTGGCATATTTGGTATGCCACGGGAGTTTGCCAGACTCTGCCCTGTGGGCAGGCTACATTCAATAGCCTGCAAGTTTGTCCAAAGTAGGAATGAGATAATAAGATGTCATAAAAAGATGTCCTGATAAGATGTCGCGCAGCCGCGAATGCGGCCGCGTGGTTCCGGGAGCTGGATTTTATAGTCTCTGAGTCTTGGCCGTTGATGGGATTACACGGCGCCAGGGGGCCAGGTGGTGGGTGTGACCCCCGCCTACTGGAATTTGGAGGATCTGGGTGGAGGATGCTCGATTCCAATCCGAGTAGGCTGGGAGATCTCGGCCCCAGAACCCGCGTGGATTTGTCCCTCTGCCAGTACCTTCATGTGTGCGGAGAGTGGTCTCAGCATGGTGGTGGCTGGTCCTGGAGGTCTTCGGCTGCCGGAGCCCTGGTCGGGGCGGGGAGGAAAGCTCAACCCGCTCCCCTCCAATGGGCCCCGGCGAGGAACAGCCAGGCTCGGGGGCAGAAGACTGCACTGTTCTTGTCCGGGAGCTGTATTTTATAGTCTCTGAGTCTTGGCCGTTGATGGGATTACACGGCGCCAGGGGGCCAGGTGGTGGGTGTGACCCCCGCCTACTGGAATTTGGAGGATCTGGGTGGAGAAGACTCTAATATTTACTAGATTTTCATTGAGAACTAATGAGGAAATGTCTCACTTTGTTTTTCCTTCAGGTTTTCTGAGGATGTCGATAAGTACTCTCGACCATATCTTTATTTAGTAGACAGTATCCTCAAGTCCAAGACTGGAACACAAATTGAGAAAATTAGAGGTCAGATCATGCCAGAAATAATAAGATTAAACACGGAAATCAAAGAAGCTCAAATCCAGCAAAAACCACGAATAAAGGAAATCAGGCAGCTATATACAGAAATATCCCAGCTCCAAAGTGAAAATAAATTCTTTCTGGACTACCTCACTAACAAAACAGAGGAGTATAGAAAACAACCCGAAAAGCTGTGGGCGAGCTATTTACAAAAAGTTCGGGAGATGGAAAGAAGGAAGCAAGTTGCATCTGCCAAATATGAGGCAAAATTTGCAAGGCTTAAAGCAGAACTCTTGGAGAAGGAAAAGGTGCTGCACAACTTGAAGAAGTGTTTGGAGGGAATGAAAAACATTTCCACGTTGAAGGAGAAGCAGGAGAATAAAATACTGGCACTAAAAGAAGAGGAGGAGAAAGTCCCAGCCAAGACAAATGCAAAAATACAGGAAATCCTTGTCCCATTCCTCTTGAAAAAAACATTATTGGAGGAACAACTGAATGAACCAGACATAAAATGGCTTGCAAAGAGTAAGGTTTTTGGAAAGACCCATGACGTGGAGTCAGCAGCTCGGCACCGTTGTGTCAAGTTCTCCCGAGATGTCACGGAAGAGAGTGAACGGGTACAGAAGGAACTCCTGAAGCTCATTCAGCGGAGTGAAGAGCTGGAGGCTGCCCAGAAACGGTTAGAGACACAGAAACGTCAACTGCAGCAGAAAGAGTGGTATCTGGAAGGTGTGGTCCGGGGGAGGAAGCATCTTCAAAGAAGACGTAATTGGCGCTCGGAAGAACAGGGGGTGCCAAAGGCCACAGTGAGCCCTCCCCACAGCACCAAATCAAGGATTAATCTAAATCCTAAATCACACCGATGAAATAAGCATTGAAGCACATATTCTTGGATACTGCAGACGCCTGGTTAAGAAGGCTTAGGGATCACGGGTTCCTTTGGTAAAATATCCACCATGGTGTGTTTTAAGGATTAGATGCTTCCCTAGGCAGTGCTGCCAGGTTATTTGTGTGACCAGCTCTCCTCATCTAGAATTTTCTTTCATTCGCTTATTAATGAAGCTGGATGTTCCAGGATATCTCAGCTAACCTAATACCATTTGTAAAATATCCTTAAACTACTTGACAAAACCTTGAACTTAAAAGGAAGACAATGTTTGGTTTATTTCATGGAGCTGATACTGTTAGAGAAAACGTGTATTTTCTGATCTCTCGTGTTGACTTGATCGAACTCCCCTCCTCCCCCTTCAGTACCAGTATTGGTCAGTCTTCCTTTCTTCTGACCAACTTGTTACGGTCAGGTCACGGTCACGGTCACGGTCCTCCCGTTATTCATCCATTTGCTCGAGCTTGTTACACAAAAGCAAAATGTTTATAATGTGCAAAATGTGTTTCACTGTTCCTACTGTGTAAGCCAAGCACCTTACCTCCTTTAATCACTCTCTAGCCCTTTTAAGTTCTACCTTTTAACAGTTTTTCTGTTATTCTTGTTTTGGGACCACGCCCAGTGAGGCTCAGGCCTTTTCCTAGCTCTCAGCAGAGTCCCGTGATGCTCTGGAGACCATACACTGGGATTTTAAACCAGGTAACTTGGTTGAGTACAGGTTAGTAACCCTGTACTCTCTCTCTAGCTCCTCTTAATGTTTTGAAGTATATAGTATTTTGTCACCAAAACAACCTAGATTATATTTTATTCATTGATATTATTGTCCCAATGTATTTTCTACTTTAGTCAGTGCTTCATGTCTTGTTCATAGTAGTATGAGCCCAATTAAACTGTAGTTTTAATGCAGAAAGTGGATTTTTATTTTTGAATTTAGGGCCACAGCTGTGGTGCTCAGGGCTTACTCGTGGCTCACTGCTTAGGGATCACTCCTGGCAGTGCTCAGGTACAATACTGAGGATTGTACCCGGGCCGGCTGCATGCAAGGCAAATGCTTTACTTGCTTTCTAGCTCAGAAAATATAATTTTAGGGGCTGGAGTGATAGCAGTGGGTAGGGCGTTTGCCTTGCACGCGGCCAACCCAGGTTTGATTCCCAGCATCCCATATGGTCCCCTGAGCACCGCCAGGAGTGATTCCTGAGTGCAGAGCCAGGAGTAACCCCTGCGCATATATATTGCCGGTGTGACCCAAAAAGCCAATATATATATATAATTTTATATAGCATGCAAATTCAGGTTAAATTTGAAAAGGTACTCAAGACAAATAGGGCTGTAGCGATAGCAAAAAAGGTAGGGCATTTGCCTTGCACATTGCTGACCCAAGTTAGATTCCTCTGCCCCTCTCGGAGAACCTAGCAAACTACCAAGAGTATCTCACCTGCACGGCAAAGCCTGGCAAGTTCCCCGTGACATATTCGATATGCCAAACACAGTAACAAGTATCACAATGGGACGTTACTAGGCCCGCTCGAGCAAATCGATGAACAACAGGAGGACAGCACTACTCAAGACAAATATGAAGCCCTAGTCTCTGTAGGTGCAAAACCCTAAGAAAATATGTCGACAAGTCAGGAGTTAGCTACCATCCTTGCTATTAATTGTATTATTGCTGTTCAAAGAACTTAAAGGTAGCTGAAATATAGTTGAGAATTGTCATGTGGAACATGGATGGAATGGCAGTGACAGGGTGAAAACAAAAGCCTGGAGGGCCTCTTATGCCAAAGGAGAAGATATATTTCCAAATGCAATGCAAAACTATTAAGGCCATTGGCAGATAAATCAAGTAATTTACTCAGTACAGCTTATTATGTGATCAGAGTGCATTTAGTAATAAAAAGTAGACCCAAAACAGGGCTGGAGAGATAGCACAGCGGGTAGGGCGTTTGCCTTGCATGCGGCCAACCCGGGTTCGATTCCCAGCATCCCATATGGTCCCCTGAGCACCGCCAGGAGTAACTCCTGAGTGCAGAGCCAGGAGTAACCCCTGTGCACCGCCAGGTGTGATCCAAAAAAGAAAAAAAAATAGTAGACCCAAACCTATTAGAAAGCAGTTGTTTAGGTGAGAAGTGGTAGGGTTTGCTCTTACTAGATTGGGATGCTAGTAAGAGCAAACAGAAGACATAGGGTGAGGAAAACTAAAACGTGCAGAAGTAAAATTTCTCGTGTTTCATTTTAAGGCAGTATTTGTGTGAACAGATTTGGTAAGTAAAACATTTTTGACATAAAAAAATATGGAAACTATATGACAGACTCATTCAGCTTAATAATTTAAATTTTCCAGGGGGAAGAGAGATAGTACTGCTGGTAGGGCATTTGCCTTGCACGTGTCGGATCCAGGTTTGTCCCTGGCACTCAAAGCGAGCAGTACCACTGAGTGGAGGAGGGGCGGCATAGGGGGATGCTGGAAATATATAGGGGGCACGTTCTGTTATAGTGTGTTTTGGGTTATTTCCCCAACCCCTACTGAAAGGTAGATTTTTCAAAGCAGTGCTAAGTAATTCTTTCCTGAAAAGGGAGCTGCTGTAGGCCAAGTAAGTTGGGGAACCTCTTTCCTAAAAAGTGAAGGAAGCAAAACCATATTTTAAGTCCTAGCCAGAGCAATAGGACAACAGGTAGGGCACTTAACTTACAGGGCAGCTGACTCAAAATTCTATCCTCAGTACCTTATATGGTTCCCTGAGTTCCACCAGGAGTGATCCCTGAGCACAGAGCCAGGAATCAGCCTTAAGTACTGCCGCGTGTGACCCAAAAACAAAATAAAAACTTCAAAATTCTATCTTAGAAGTGTCACTTTCATTCACAATCCACTGGGGGAAAGTTACTGTAGTGACAGGGTTGGTGGCAGGTTAGAAAATGCTATCTATTTATCCCAAAATCCTGTCTCTTTGCAAGTTAGGAGCAGGTTTTGGACAGATACCAGTTTTCAAATTTCCAGTGTGTCAGTTGTAAACTATTCCAGTAATCTTCATTTTGTCTCTTGGTACATGGTGAGAGGAGGTTCTCTGGGAGATAAAACTGCTGAGCCTTAGGGCATACCTTCAATTTTATTAGAATACTGCAAAATTGGTTTCAAAGTCTCAACAGGCTAGAAAGATAGTATAGAATATAGGGCGCTTGCCCTGCAATGCATCTGACTGGAGTTCAATCCCCAGCATCCCATATGGTACCCTGAGCACACCGCCACGAGTAATTCCTCAGTGCAGAGTCAAGAGTAACCCCTGAATATCACTGGGTATACCCCCTGCCCCCCAAAAAAACAAGCCATTATAACAAATTATATTCCCAAACATGCATGAGAATTCATATTGCACTAGAACCTACCCATAGTCAAGCTTGTTATTCAAATGGATTATTTTGGTTTTAGGCCACACCCCACAGTGTCCAACACTCCTGATGGACCTTAGAGAACCGTGTGATGCCAGAAACTGCACGTGGGCCTCCTGCACACAAAGCACTTTGTCCGTCGAGCTCCATCCAGCCCCCACATGAACTGTGTGAGAGGTCCTAGGTATTGAATCCTGGGTCTCTCATGTCTGAGCTATATACCACGAACACATCAGCAGTCTGTAATTTTGTTTCGTTTCAGGGGCCACTCCCAGTGGCGCTCAGAGCTTACTTCTCTCGCTCTGCACTCTGGGATCACTCCTGGCAACTTGGGAGCCATAAGCAGTATCAGGAATCAAGCCCAAGAGGCCATGTGCAAGGCATGCACTTTATCCACTATATTATTGCTCTGGCACATACATTTTTTTGTTTTTTTTTTTTTTTGGATCACATCCTGAGATGCTCAGGGGTTACTCCTGGCTCTGCAACTCAGAAATTACTCCTGGCGGTGCTCGGGGGACCATATGGGATGCTGGGAATCGAACCCGGGTCGGCCACATGCAAGGCAAACGCCCTACCCGCTGTGCTATCACTCCAGCCCCTACATTTCTTTTTTAAGTAAGAAATGCTATACTGTGTCCAGATAATCTGCTGGTCCTTAGCCTTAGGAGAAAAAAAAGTATCCACACTGGCCAGTGAGACTGGCTAAGTTTCCCAACCTAATCCACTTCACTCTCAAATTACTCATTTTAGCCATCTGACTTCAGGAGTGAAGGACTGAGGGGACAGAGCAATAGTACAGCAGGACTTTGCCTTGCATACAGCTGACCTGAACCCAATCCCCGGCATCTCATATGGTCGCCCTGGGCCTATCAGGAGCATCCCGCAAAACAGAGCCAGGAGTCACCCCTGGGCACCACCAGGTGTGCACCGGCCCCCCCACAAAGAAAGCACTACTGTGTCCAGTACTTAAACCTCATTCCCATCTCGAGCCATCTTCTTACCCCAATACACTGCACCAGCAAGGAGTCTAGTAGCAAGCAGGAGTCAATGAACAACTGCAAACATCATTCTAAATGAGTCATTTATTCACTGATCATAGCCAAATGTTTCCCAGTCTTTCCAGAAATTACATTTCTCCTCCCTGACAACCCTTATCTACGGAAAGGGCTTTTCGGCTGCAACTTGCCAATAGGCAATGAAAATAGAGTGGGAAACCACTTGCTTCACTTGTTTCCACACCATCGATTCTGGCAGCATCTGAATCGGATTTAAATGTTGCCGTGTCTCAAGGCAGCCTTCACCAAAGCCCACATTTTAAAGCTACAGAGAAGCACCGAGAACGGAGTGTGAACAGTCTTGCAGAACTGGAAACAGCTGGTATTTGTCAGTATCAGGGTGAAGGGACCCCTGCTCTTTATGTGGCATATCCCACCAAAATTGGCAAGAAGGGGTAAGACTGGTATTTATGGAAAAGGGGGAGAGATTCCAGAAACACGACAGAGCGGCTCTGCCAGAGGCTCCAGCGGAAGCCCGCGTCAAAGACAAATAGCCCATTAGACATTCATTACCAGGTGGGCTTGAGGTACAGAAAAAGCTTTTTCTTTTTCCTTTCCAACTCCAAATAAATATCACGTAAAAGTCACTCACCAAAAGTCCAAATAAATATCACAAATAAAGTCCTGTGTTAAGAGGACAGAATTCCACATATCAAAGGAGAGGGAGGACAAGTCTCAGAAAACTTGGAGACAAGAGGTTAGCTAAAGGGAGGAGTGGGGACTACACGGGCCAAATGAGGCCCAGGGGAAAAGGAATGTGCACCTCGACCACCAATCTCCGTGTCATCATTAGAACACTGGGATACAGCGTCATCACATCAGGGGCAAAGGATTTCTCAACTCTGAAGGCTGAGCAAGCAAACGGCAGCTTCCCGGGGCAGCGACCGCAGCCACGGATGATGCTCGGGCCCAGGAAAGCCCAGGCGGAGTTTACTGCTTTTTCCACTTTCTTCCTTTCATCGCTTTAATGTAGGGGACATGTTATTCCTAAGGCCCTGGGTCGAGTCAGTCTGGGCTACTTGGGGCCAACAAAGCATCTCCCGGGAAAACCAATTCAGGGCGCCTCTCACTTTTTCATCCGAACCTCATTTCCTTTCCATCCTAAAGCCAGAGGGAGAGAGAACATGAGAGTCCCCAAAGTTTACTTCCCACGGATTCCAAGTAACCTTATCACGAGTGACTTCTCATGTTTGCAGACTTCTCATGTCACAGACACAAAATGAAAAGCCCGTGTAGTTTTTTTCAAAAGTTTCATTTGGAGTTCATTTATCAGCTAGATGACAGAGTGGCTGCTAAGCGCAATCTACACCCCCATCGGGAAAGGACACAACCCAACAGCTTTCTCGGGCTTGAACAGGACGGGAAGGGCCTACAGCTGCCCTGTAAGACGGAGTTTTCTGGGCAAGACGGAAAACACAAGGAACAGCAGGAGGACCGATGCCAAAGGGTGGGGGGAGTGAACGCCAGGAGAGACAACTGTGATGTGTACAAGGGAGGAGGGGCCGGGGCAGCTAGGACCCACCAATAGCTGCCAGGGGACATTTCTGGACTCAGCCCTCGGTCCTCCCGGCAGACCCCGCTCCCCGGGGAGTGAGGGCCAGCATCTGCCTACTTCCTCCCTCGTCTGTGATTAGTCTTTGGGGCCTTCACTTTCTGCACCGGGGCTGGCACGGCCTTGGGCTCTGGCTCCGTGGAGGCGGCGGGCACGGGCGGCGCCTCATCACTCCTCCTCTTCTCCTTCCCTGCCTCGGGCTCTGGCTCCGTGGCGGTGTCGGCGGGCACCGGCAGTCCCTCCTCACTCCTCCTCTCCTCCTCGACGGGCACATTCAGCTCCACCTCGGGCAGTTCCAGGCTCAGCTGCCGCCGTCTCAGCGACCGTCGGCCCTGGTGCTGCTGGCGCCTCTTCTCTTCCTCCTCCCGCCGCTGCTTTATCTTCATCACCTTCTCAAAGCTTTTGGTGGTTGTTGGGTTTACTACGAACCAATCCTGCAGAGGGCACGTAGAAACATCGGCCAATGAAACACCATGACGATGGGGCTGGAGCAATAGCACCGCGGGGAGGGCGTTTGCCTTGCACGCAGCCAACCTAGGTTCGATTCCCAGCATCCCATATGGTCCCCCGAGCACCGCCAAGAGTAATTCCTGAGTGCATGAACCAGGAGTAACTCCTGTGCATCGCCGGGTGTGACCCAAAAAGCAAAACAAACAAACAAAAACACCATGATGAGGAGAAAGCAGGGCATGGCAGAACGAGGCATATTTAAGGGTGGGAGGTAATGTGGTGCCAGATGGTCCCCCAGGCAATTCCAGGAGTAAGCCCTGAGCACCACTCAGGGGGTTGTTTAAGGCCCCCACACAAACAAAAACAAAATCAAGGCCAGAGAGATAGGACAGGGGTGGAGGGGCCAGCCTTGCATGCAGCCCGGCCCAGCTGGATCCCTGGAACCATATCTGATTCCCCAGATACTGTCAGGAGTGACTCCACTCAAAAAAAACAAACAAACAAACAAAAAAAATACTCAACTATGGACTGAATCTAAGTTGTTTCTGGCATAAGCTAGCTAGGGTTTTATTTCTGGGGTGAAAAGAGGTCACAAACGGAAGAAGTCTAAAAAGCTCTGTGTGGCCAATCTTCACAGATATCTCATAGTATTCATAACAAGCAATACAAAATAAATTATTTAGCATCATCAGCCCGTGGGGCGGCTTCAGTGGTGGTGGAAAAATTCGAAATAATGGTGGTGCGAAGGTGTAATGGTGGTGGGACTGGTGCTGAAATACTGAATATAATCAATTATTGTGAACACTTTATGAAAATAAAATTTTTTAGAAATAAAAACTAGGGGCTGGAGCGATAGCACAGCGGGTAGGGCGTTTGCCTTGCACGCGGCCGACCCAGGTTCGATTCCCAGCATCCCATATGGTCCCCTGAGAACCGCCAAGAGTAATTCCTGAGTGCAGAGCCAGGAGTAACCCCTGTGCATCGCCAGGTGTGACCCAAAAAGAAAAAAAAAAAAGTAAAAATCTCTGCTGTAAGACAATTTCAAGAAGCTCAATATGCAAGCTACAAAATCTGATTCAGCAACACCTCATACATTTATCTTCTTTGTAAAAATCTCACTAGACATAAAGTACCGGATAAATTTTTGTTTTCAGTGGGGTAGAGGTGGGGTTATGGGAGAAGTAAACCAGACAACCACCAAAAGCTTTTCATGGAATGGAGTTCAGAGGTAACCTCCCCAGCTGTATTCAGGGGCCCCAGAAACCCTTCTAGAGATTCTGTCAACCTAGCCTCTGGGTCAGTGCTCGGGTCCAAGAACAAAGCAATACAGAGGCCTCCAGGCTGTACCTGGTGATTTCAGGAAACTTGATGATGGTGGTGCCTGGGATGGAACTAGGGCCGGTCTCACGCAGGGTTGTGACATCACCCTGGCCTCTCTGTCCTGCCTTGTCTGCTGGTTCAGATGCAGGGAATCAAAACCAGGGCAACACACACGCAACGTATGTGCTCTACCACTGGGTTTATATCCCCAGCCCTCGAAACAGGATTTTAAAGAGCACTGAAAACTCATTGCTGGGCCAGAGCAATAGTAAAGCAGAGAGGGCGTTTGCCTTGCACGCGGCCAACCAGGGTTTGATCCCTGGCATCCCATATGGTCCCCCAAGCACTACCAAGAGTGATTCCTGAGTAAAGAGCCAGCAGTAACCCTTGAGCATCGCTAATACAAGGCTACTTGTCTTGCAAGCAGATGACCCTGGTTCAATCAACTAGCATTACATATGGTCCCCAGGGATTTCCCAGAGTGCCCCCTGAGCACAGAGCCAAAGTTAAGACCTGGGCACTCTGGGTACTGCCCACAAGTAAAATTAAAATTGGAGCAAGCACAATAGTACAGTAGGTTGGGGGCTTGTCTTGCACACAGCCGACCCAGGTTCAATCCCTGGCACCACGTATGGTCCTTGTGCCCCACAGGAGTGAATCCTGAGTAAGCTTACAGGAGTAAGCTCTGTGCACAGTTGGGTGTAGCCAGAGTAACAAAAACAAATAAATAAAAATAAACGAAAAATAATGTATCAAGTTTTAGAAAATCTTTAACTTGCAACATCACTGGTAACTGTTAGGAACTTGCCTTGATAGGCCACAAGGGCTGGAGAGAGCTTAGCAGGCTAATCCCAACTTCTGCTGGCCGCCCACCACAGCTCAATCCCCAGCACCAATAGACCCCTGAGCAGAGCCAGGTGTGACCTCTGAGTAGCTAAATGTGGCCCAAACCCGCCCCGCCACCAATTACTTACAAAAAAAAATTGAAAAAATTATATATATATATATATATATATATATATATATATGGGGCCCACAAGATTATAAGCATATCACGGAGGGGCAGGAGATAGGGCAGCGGGTCAGATGCTGGCCATGCAGGAGGCCAAGTCGGGTTTGATCGCAGCACCGCATGGGGTTCTTCCACGTACCAAGCCAGGAGTAAGCCCTGAGTACTGTTGGGTGTGGGTCCCCCAGAATGCAAACATTCGGGCAAGCAGGAGCCTCACCTCAGCGTGGACAGAGTTGATGTGGTATTTCACCCCACTCTCCGAAACAAACTCTTTCTCACATAGAAGACATCTGTATTTTCCAGCCACGAAGTTTCCCTATTTCCAAAAGAAAGAGAAGAGAATGAGTGGGCAATTTAGGACTGCTAGAGACGAAAAGGAGAGATTCGACATGAACAAAGGTAAGGAAATAAAATCCCTACAGAACATATTTTGGAAAGAGCTTGGGGAGACCATCGTAACTATAAACCTATTCTCTACCGATATTCAAACTAGCCCGCCACCCCACAGATTGGCCTGAAGCTTTCCCGCTCCAATCTGCTACGGTTACACTTTGTTCTATCTACCCTTGTTTCACTTCATTTCTGGGTTCATTTGTTTTGTATGTGTGGGGAGGGGAGGGGGATTCTCGATTTCCAGTTCTGTTTTGGGCTCCTCTGCAGTGCTCCGCACATCAGAGGCAGCACAAGCAAATTTACAGACAGTCACGGCTGCAAAGAATGCCTTGGGAATTCGGGATTGAAAGAGTCCCATCCATTACATCTAGTTTTAAGAAACCAGGGGCCAAAGTGATGGTACAGTGGGTAGGGCATTTGCCTTGCATGCAGTTGACCCAGATTCAATACCTGGTACCACATATGGGCCCCACCCATCTTTGCCAGGAATGATCCCTGAGCGCAGAGCCAGGAGTAAGCACTGAGTACTATCAAAAGGGTCCAAAAAAAAGAGAGAGAGTAAGGAAAGAGGAGGAGAGAGGAAGGGGGGAGGGGAAGAGAGGGAGGGAGGGAGGGAGGGAGGGAGGGGAGAGGGAGGGGGGAGAGAGAGACAGAGAGAGAGAGAAAGAGAGAGAGAGAGAGAGAGAAAATAAGCAGAAACTAGGTCCAAGATGACAAACTCCCATGTATTCCTGTGCAGATGTGCAGACCTGGAAGACACAACTCCCTGCCTTGAACCGAACCTCTCCCCTCCTGAGGCTTCGAGTACACGTGGGGCTCTTTAGTTCAGAGCAGATACTCCTAAATGGGATTGGAAAAGCAGCAACAATCCCTAGAGCTGGGGGGTTGGACGGCACCTACGTCAGTGCGGAAAAGAATCAGGAAGGTGAAGGACTGACTATTAGTCTGACCTGCTGGGATCCTGGAGAGTAAGAAAAGTGCTTAACTCCCCAGGACTTTAAGCCCAGGAAAGGCAAATCTTACAAGGTTAAAGCCAGGGGCTAGAGAGATGGTACCGCAGGGAGGGTGCTTGCTTTACATGCAGTCATCCTGGCTTCAATCCCCAGAACCACATACAGTTCCCCAAGCCCTAGTAGGAGTGATCTCTAAATGCAGAGACCTGAGCACTGCCAGGTGTGGTCCCAAAACAAAACAAAACAAAAAAGCAGGTTTAAGGCCAATAAGAGGGCAGAGCCCAGTTTGCAAAATGTTCATTTGGAAGTTAAGTCCTGGGCTGGATCTCAAAACTCCAAGAATATTCTCCAAATTCCTTTCATTGGATTACCTAACCGGTCTCCGCCTTTTCTATATCTTGTTTTGGGGTCACACATGATGGGAATCAGGGGACCATGCAGTGCCATGGACCAATTCAGGGTGCCCGCATGAGAAGCACGCACGCCAGTCCTTTCGAGTCACCTCACTGGCCTGAGGCATCTTGAACATACCCTGGAAATTCAACCCCGAAATATCTGGGACATAAATAGCTACACGAGGGCCAGGGAGATGGCGCAGTGGGCTGAGTGCATGTTCCGCGTGCAGGGGGCCTAGGTCAGACCCCAGCTCCTGCTGCTGCAGACTGCAAGCACAGAGCCGAGAGTAATCCCTGAGCGCCACAAAGCGTGGCCCACAAATTAATAGCATAACACAGCCCAGACTTTTTCTCTTTTTCTTTTTTTTTTTTTTTTTTGCTTTTTGGGTCACACCCAGCAATGCTCAGGGGCCACTCCTGGCTTTGCACTTAGGAATCACTCCTGGTGGTGATTGGGGGACCATATGGGATGCTGGGAATCGAACCCAGGTCGGCCGCGTGCAAGGTAAACGCCCTACCCGCTGTGCTATTGCTCCAGCCCCTGCCCAGACTCTTAAGGACAGACAAGACAACTCTGTTCATCTAAATCCCTTTCCACGTCAAACAATTTCAGAGGTCCCGTTAAGATAAATAGCTCAGGAGTTACAAACCAATGTGCAAGAGCCCAGGTGAGCTTTAAGGCCAGACATACTACTGTAGACAGCCTCACAACCCTGAAAGAGAAAAGAAGAAATCATGTCAAGACCGTAGCAGACAGCGACCTCTGCTCACCAACTTGTTCATTTCCACGGAGCACCTAGGCGCAGCAAGACCAACAAACAGCGCACAATGCAAGCAGAGGGGGGACCCACACGCAAGTCACAGAGGGAAACCACGGAAAGGAAGAGATAAAAGGGGGGAGGGCTGGTTGATTAATAAAGCTGAAAACAGTTCCTTCTCGAGCACCTTTTGTATCATTTGAGAGAAAACACAGAAGATTATAGGCTGTGTTTTCCTTCACTATTTCTTTTTTCCTGGTGGTGCCAGGAATCAAACCCTGGGCCTTACACAAGTAAGGCACCATTAAGCTACAGCCCCTGTCTGGGTAAACTTTTTTTTTTGCCTTTAATCTGTTTTCTTTTTTTGTGTGTGTGTGCTTTTTGGGGTCACGCCTGGCGATGCACAGGGGTTACTCCTGGCTCTGCACTCAGGAATTACCCCTGGCGGTGCTTGAGGGACCATATAGGATGCTGGGAATCGAACCTGAGTTGGCCGCGTGCAAAGCAAACGCCCTATCCACTGTGCTATCACTCCAGCCCTAGCTGACTTGGTTTTGATCCCTGGTTTTGTTTTCTTTAGTACTAAAGTGATGCCCACTTCTTGCAAAGCTACTCCCCAAAGTTCTGTATACAAGAATATATAAAGATGGTATACATTTTCTGCAACTCACGACACTGAGCCTATTATCTGGTTAAGCCCTGTAATACCTTGGACCGGAAAGAAGGTTCCAAATTGCTAAGTTAGGCCTTAACTTAGACGCAACTTGGGACTTTCATTTCTTGAAATCATCTCTCTGACAGAGCCGTCATCATGTTCCCTGCTGCTAATCCAGTTACCCTGTTCTACAGCCAAAGTGAAGTTCCCAGCTGAATGCACCCTATGAGAGGAATCCAGTGATGATAAGCTGAGAACGATTCGTGAGCCCTGAAGGAACTGATCTGCAGAACTGTGAGCAAATCCAGTAACTGCTGTCTTTTTTTTTTTTCAGTGAACTACTGTGAGCTGTCACAAAGTTTTCATGATGAGTTTCAGTCACACAATGATCAAACATTCATCCCTCCACCAGTGCACATTTTCTACCACCAATGTCCCCGGTATCCCTCCCGCCACCCCCAATTCACCCCACTCCCTGCCTTTCTAGCAGACAATTTCCTTCTTACTCTCTCTCTATTTTTGGGCATTATGGTTTGCAATACAGATACTGAGAAGCCATCATGTTTGGTCCTTTACTTTCGGCACACAGCAGTAGGGCGTTTGCCTTGCATGCGGCTGGCGTGGCTGACCCAGGTTCGACTCCTCTGCCCCTCTCAGAGAGCCCAGCAAGCTATCGAGAGTATCTCGCCCACATGGCAAAGCCTGGCAAGCTCCCCATGATGTATTCGATATGCCAAACACCGTAACAACAAGTCTCACAATGGAGACGTTACTGGGCCCGCTCAAGCAAATCGATGAGCAATGGGAGGACAGTGCACATCTCCATCCCAAGCGATTCCTCCAACCATTATTGACTTAGTGATCCCTTCTCTATCCCAGCTGCCTTCTCCCCCAGATCATGAGGCAGGCTTCCAACCGTGTAGCAATCTTCCTTGTCTCTACTGTCCTTGGGTGTCAGTCTCATATTATCAGTAACTGCTATCTTAAAACAATTAAGATCCATGGCATTGGAGCAATAGTATAGCAAGTAGGGCACTTGCCTTGTAAGTGGCTGACTTGGTTTTTTTGTTTTTTTGGGTCACACCCGGCAATGCACAGAGGTTACTCCTGGCTCTGAACTCAGGAATTACTCCTGGCGGTGCTTAAGGGACCATATGGGATGCTGGGAATCGAACCCAGGTTGGCCGCCTGCAACGCAAACGCCCTATCTGCTGTGCTATCACTCCAGCCCCAGCTGATTTGGTTTTGATCCCTGCTACCAAATATGGTCCCCCAAGCCTGCCAGGAGTGAGCCATGGCAGAGCTTGGAGCCAGGAGTAAGCCCTGAGCACCACTGAGTGTGTCCCTCACCTCCAAAGAGAAAAAAATAGATTCAAGTACTTTATCATGAAGGTAAAGGTAAAGGTAAAGGTAAAGGCCCTCCCGTTGATCGTCGATTTGCTCGAGCGGGCCCAGTAACGTCTCCATTGGAGACTTTGTTGTTACTGTGTCTGGCATATGGAATACTCTCGGTAGCTTGCCGGGCTCTCTGAGAGGGGCGGAGGAATCGAACTCGGGTCGGCCATGTTGGCCGCTTGGAAGGCGAACGCCCTACCGCTGTGCTATCATGAAGGAATAACAGAAAAACAGCAGATACTTGGTAAGACAGTTAATAAATGAAGAAGAAAACCCCACCTGGTTGGGACACTGGATGTGATGGTACTTCTTGATCTCTAACTTCCACTTGTGAAGCACTTCTTCACTGAAGGTGGGAAGTCCTGGGCGTGCATATTTTAACTGAAAGACAAGAAACAGTTTCTTGGAGGAATCCAACTTCCAATGAAAATAATCCAAAGTTTCACATCCAACTCTTAGACAGTTCAAGAAGTCCACCAATACATTTTCACTGTCAGACTATTTATTACATCTAAGACCATTAAAGTTCCTGATTATTAGTAAGCTTAACTGTCTAGTGCTTCGTTTTCTAAAAGTTTAAATTTCAACAGACACTTTCAGACAAATCATTTCATCTACTTTAAAAACTAAAAAACTAGTGAGAACATTATATGGGATGGCTTAAAGAAATGATAGAAACAAATACGTCATATTAAACATATTAAGTGTACATATTACAGACAGGGAACAGACATACACACATATAGCCCATAGGAATAGACAGAGGGACAGGAAAAGGCCAGGTTATAATAACAGTAAACTTCTCTGGGTGGTATTCTGTGTTGGCTTGATGATTTTCTTCTTCTGCTTATCTGTAATTCTCACTTTTAATAATATTTTCAATTTGTGACTCAACTATCCTGAGCCTGAAAATTCTAGGGATGGAGTGTGCCAAGTGTTCATGCAAGGCCCTGGGTTCAGTCCTTGGCACTCTGCAGTCTTACACAAAGATTAAGGTTTCAGGAGCTGAGAAGGTAACACAGGGCTTAAAGCACTTATTTACTGGTAACCAATCCCAATGTGATCCCGGGCACCACGCATGGTCTAAGTACTGCCAGAAGTGGTCCCTTGAGCACAGCAGGGTGTGACCCAAATCCCTCACCCCACAAAAAAAAAATCCCCTAAAATTCCTCCTAGCACCACCAGACCATTAAAGTTCCTGTTCATTAGTAAGTTTAACTGTCTATTCGTTTTAAAAAGCTGTTTTTTTTTTTGCTTTTTGGGTCACACCTCAGCGATGCACAGGGGTTACTCCTGGCTCTGCACTCAGGAGTTACTCCTGGCGGTGCTCAGGGGACCATATGGGATGCTGGCGATCGAACCCGGGTTGGCAGCATGCAAGGCAAATGCCCTACCCGCTGTGCTCTCTCTCCAGTCCCAGCTGTTTGTTTTTTAAAAGTTTGAATTTCAACAGATACTTTCAGAAAAATCATTTCATCTACTTTAAATATTGAAAAACTAGTGAGAACATTATATGGGATGGCTTAAAGAAGTGAGAAATACAAATATGTCATATTTGTATGGTCCTGGATGGATCACTTGGATGGTCCCCAGCACTGCAGAACTCCCAAAGTACTGCATTCCCTAGGGATCTCACAATGAACCTCCAGCCCAATTGGCTGAGAACCGCCAGCAGCAGCCTCAAGACCCCCTAATACACACACACACACACACACACACACACACACACACACACACACACTACAGATTCGATCTAAAACAAGGTGAGAAAATACAGGGAACATAACAATCTTCGCTTCTACAGAAAAATAAAATGAATCTTAGTACTTCCTTTTTTGTTTGTTTTGGAGCCATGCCTGGTTGTGAGAAGGGCTTAATCCTGCCCTGCACTCGGGGATCAGTCCCAGTGGGGCACAGGGGACCATTGTGGTGCCAGGGATGGAACCTGGGCTGGCCACACACAAGGCAAGCACCCTACCATTGTACGGCCACTCTGGCCCTGAGCTTTGAGCTGAGTTCATCTCCTTCCAAGCACAGCTACAGTGTCCAGAGAAGAGACAGCACCTGCACAGACGTTCTTACAAAGCCTTCTGTGAGTAACAGGAAATCGCTGGTGCATGAATAAAGGTAAAAGGTAAAGGCCCTCCCGTTGTTCATCGATTTGCTCGAGCGGGCACAGTAACGTCTCCATTGGAGACTTTGTTGTTACTGTGTTTGGCATATCGAATACGTCACGGGGAGCTTGCCAGGCTCTGCCTTGCGGGCGAGATACTCTCGGTAGCTTGCCGGGCTCTCCGAAAGGGGCGGAGGAATCGAACTCGGGTTGGCCATGTTGGCTGTGTGCAAGGCAAACGCCCTACCGCTGTGCTGTCACTCCAGCCCGGTGCATGAATACTCTTCATAAATACTGCTTCAACAGTGGAAGAATCTGAAAAGAGGCCGATTCCCTGAGATAGAACAGAGCCACGAAGCCCATAAGGAAATGAGGGAAGCCAGCAAAGAACCTCAGCTCACTCCTAAGAAACCAGTGCACAGGGGTGGGCAAGATCAGCCTTGTGCGGCAGCAGCCTCAAATCTGGTCCCCATGGGCTGGAGTGACAGGACAGCGGGAATCCGGATGCTTGCCTTGCAAGCAGGCAACCTGGGTTTGATCCCCTGAGGACCACCAGCAGTGATCCTAAGTGCAGAGCCAGGATGCCCCCTAAGTACTGCCACGTATGGCCCCCAAACAAACAAACAAATTGGTTCCCAGGATCACAAATTACACCCTCCTCCCCCTCTAAGGAGCACTAGGCATACTCCTGGTGAACCCCAACTCCTCTGAGCCCAAGCACTGAATCACCTGACCCAGCTGGCCATGGGCTCCCGAGCCCTCATTCCCATTAAAAACACAGAGTCGGCTGGTGTGCTAAGCACATGCTCTCCTCTGCGGCTCATCCATATGGTCCTATTCAAGACCTGGTTTTAGTGACAGGAGATGATTTACCTAATTAATAGCGAGGTATATAAAATCAAGATAGGGCTGAAGATACAGTTCAATGGGCTCCTCATTCAAAAGACTTGGTTTAGAGACCCAGCCTGACATGGTCCCCCAAATAAGGCCGCGAGTTCTTCCTGAGCCAGGAGGCTGCCCCTAAGCACTTACAAATGAAACAAAAATTAAAAAGCTAAAAACTCTTCCTACCAAACCTGGGAGAATTTGACCAGTAAAATAAGTAGTGACAGCGCTGAATTACAACCCATAGACTAAGATAAATACAATTCCATTCTGATAGAACAAACCAGTTAAGGTCAGAGATAGCACATGTAAGAGGTCTGGGTTCGATTCCCAGTACCCCTGAGTCCCCCAAGCACTGCTGGATGCAATCTCCAGGCACAAATCCGGGAGTAGCTCCTGAGAAGCTCGAAGTGTGACCCAAAAGCCAAAACAAAAGGAAACAGGAAAAGTGTAGCCTTTCCCCCCTCTTCTCAAATATGTCTTTCTAATAAATTTATCATTACACTTCTGAAATGGTCAACTGACCATAGAGGATGTTGACATTTTTTTAGACTCCCGCTTGAAACCAACAAGTCCAGCAAACTGTTGGCCTTGATTCAGGACCAAAAGAAGTATAGATCTTTCTCGGAAGAATTCCAACTAGTAACAAGGAGAAATAAGAAAACAGAACATTATCATTAATAATCAGGACAGGCAAGAATCACTGATGGGTGCTGCAATGAATGGGTGGAAGTGTGATTAAAACATAGGTTGGCATCTTGATCTCCCTACAGAATATTCACTAATTACAATATTTGCTAAGTACAGGGAAATTGCTCTTTTGCTGTCAAGAAAAACACATCCTGGGCTGGAGTGATAGTACAGCGGGGAGGGTGTTTGCCTTGCATGCGGCCGATCCAGGTTCGATCACCGGCACCCCATATGGTTCCCCAGTACCGCCAGGAGTAATTACTGAGTGCAGAGTCAGGAGTAACCCCTGAGCTATACCAGGCGTGACCCCAAAAAAGTAAAAAAATTAAAAGGAAAAATGAACACATCCGACCTTCGAGAAAATTGAACACATCCTAATCAAGTTATTAACATTACCAAAAAAGATTTTATCAACATCAACACATTCTCTGTTGCCCACAGCACAGCTTGTGATGTGCAATTTCTCTGTCCCTCCCACATTTTTCTAAATAAGATTATTTTGCTTAAAAAAAGAAAATCAGATATAACCTCATGTGCCTCTATTGATATGATACATTTTTGTGAAAACCTCACAACCTTAACCTAATTTTGAGGGGATGGAGCAATAGCACAGTGGGTAGGGCGTTTGCCTTGCGCGAAGCCGACCTAGGTTCGATTCTCAGCATCCCATATGGTCCCCCGAGCACCGCCAGGAGTAATTCCTGAGTGCATGAACCAGGAGTAACCCCTGTGCATCGCCGGTGTGACCCAAAAAGAAAAAAAGAAAAAAATCCTACTTTTGAGAAAACACTAAGGCAGTTAGAAACATTCAACCTAATTTTCAGAAAACACTAAGGCAGTTAGAAACATTCTACAAAACAACAACCCAGTGTTACTAAAATGTTTCAAGGGACATACAAAGACACAGAAAGCCACCAACATACTAACAGACTAGAGAAGAGAGAGCGAACAAAACTCACTGTTAACAGTTCTATGTGTGAGTCCTAATGGTTCTGTAAGCTACTTAGGGGAAGCTGAATAAAGAGGATATTGGAACTCTTCATAATTTTGCAATGTTCTATAAAAATAAAATTATTTCCCAAAAATGTATCTTTAAGAATTAAGATATTGGGGGAAGGGAGATAGCCCACCAGCAGTCAATTCAAGGCCACCTGGTTTGCATATGCCAAGACCTGAGTTCAAACCCCACACAAGACACAAGGAACTCCTCCACTAGCACTGCAAATGTGCACACACAAAAGACTATAATCAAAAACAGGATCCAATTCTTTGGAAAGATCAAAAGGATTGATTGGGTTTTTTCACTTCTTAGTAATACACTTGAGCGGGCCCAGTAACGTCTCCATTGGAGACTTTGTTGTTACTGTGTTTGGCATATCGAATACACTATAATTTACAAGGTTATTCACAGTTGAGCTATAGATATACTACATTCCAGTACCCACCCCACCAACTTCCCTCCACCAGTGTCCCGAGGTTCCCCCCAGCCCGCCTCTAACAGACACATCCTCATCTCCTGCTGTCACGGGTTTGGGTACAGCCCCACCTCTCCTCTCCACCACCGCGCACCTGAGGCTCTCCACCGGTCTCCCTTCACTTCTTGTCTGCCTCTTCTTACTTTCCCCTTCAAGTTCTTTCCTTTCTCTTCCCTATACTCTGGCGTGTATTTTAGGGCAAAAGGACTGACTTATTGGGGATGCAACAGATGCTAATCCTACAGCCCACAACTGCTCGAGGCCAAAGGATGCTCCTCCCTCAGTGATCTACGCTTTAGCGTGGTTTACCAAAAGCTCTAGACTGAGCTCTGGATCCCCCAGAAGCTACGACTATAATGAAGATCAAACCGCTGAGGGCTGGAGCTCAACATCTCCAGGAACTGAGAGCGGCAACTTGCATTTTAGACTGATGTTTCACACAAGCTCTCATTTGGGAAAAAGGGAGAGAGGGAGAGTTCCACTGCCACAAAAACAAAGTGAAAACACTTACCTAAACTAAACATTCACAGTGACTAGAAATGAACGCACAAAGTAGAAGCACTGCAAGCAAAATGCAGAACGGAGACTGCACATGGAAATTCGGGTTCCTGTGGGTGTAGTCCAATATGAAGAGTCCCCTGCTAAAGAAATGTCTGAAGCGGACGGATTCGCTCTCTTTCAATTCAAACAGTGACTCTGGCTTGGACGGAGTACTTCTCCAAGGACAATGGAGCAAATACTGCTTATCACATACTATGCATTTACAATGGTTCAAACAAAGGTCAATACCTTCCGGTCATCAGGCACAAGATCCCGAAGCAGCTTCCTCTTAGGCCACTCCTTGGCCAGCTCAGCAGAGGCCAGCTCTTGCAGGTGAAACTCCGCTATCTTGGCAGACCGCCTCCGAACTCGGCCCCCACTCGGTGACTGCAGGCTCATGTCCGTTAAGCCCTCTGGCTGCCCTGAATCTAGAAAGAAGATCTGCAAGAATGAAACAGAGTGAAACCCAGACCTGAGGTGGAGCTTCCCTCCAAACCTGTGAATAAAGGCTGTCCTTCCTACTCTAGGATGCAAAGAGCCATTGGCTAGCTTGCGAGCCACTAGCATAAAGCTGTGCATATTAATGTATACTTTTCTGGTTTATTTTTTTTAAAGCCTCTAACTAGCAGATGAAAATCTGTCCTGCTTTAATAAATTAAAACATATCAGGGCCAGAGCAATAGTATAGCAAGTGGGGTGTTTGCCTTGCACACAGCCGACCTTGGTTCAATCCTCGGCATCCCATATGGTCCCCTAAGCACCTCCAGGAGTAATTCCTGAGTTCAGAGCCAGGAGTAACCCCTGAGCATTGCTGGGTGTGACCCAAAAGACAAAAAAAAAAAGTGAAGACTTACAGGAACAGAGCGACAATACAATGGTGTCAACCAAAATCAAACAAAGTTAACAGACCCACAGGCAATCAAATAAATGTAGATGCATACCTCATAGGCTATTATAAACAAAAACGAACTCAAAATAGGTCACAGGTCTAAATATGAAATACAAAATTGGCCTTCAGAGGCAAAGAAAAACTCCTGGCCTGATAGGAAGGAAATAAGGGCCTATTACTTCATAGACTGAATTCCTGAGCAATCTGAAAGGCTAGAAAGAGATTTTCCTTTCAAGTTTCCACTAAGTCTAAATAAGGGAGATGGTGCTGGAAGTCAGGGTGCACACAAGGGAGGATTAATCTCTGGCACCTCATGGCATGGGTTCCAAGCACCGCAAGGTGTGGCCCCAGAGAACCCCGGCACTGCAGGGCCAAACCAGCATCCCATTCTCAGGTCTTAGTACTGAACTAAGTGATCCCCAGAAGCCCTGAGCATTACTTGGAAAACACCCTGCCCCCACCCCCACCCCTCAATAACAGGTTTCACAGAGGTAAGTTGCACCAAATTTAAGACTTCTAATTTAATGAACTGTGAGACATTAACTGTGCTGGATTGTTTGGTTCCTTTGTTTGTTTATGGACCATACCCAGCTCAGGACTTACTCCTGGTTCTGTGTTCAAGGATCACTCCTATTGGTGCTCGTATGCGATGCCAGAGGTCAAACCTAGGCTGGGTATGTACAAAGCAAGCACTATCTCGGCACTATCTCTCAGGCTCCTTAAGCCATCAACTGGTAATTTTTCAGAGCAGCAATAGAAAATCAGATGTTGAATTTAGGCAAAAAGTATTTTAGGTACCACAACAAAAACATTATTCATAGAAGAAACCGCAAACTCGACTTCAGCCTAATCAAAATTCAGAAGTAGGGGCTGGAGAGATAGCACAGCAGGTAGGGCGTTTGCCTTGCACACGGCCGACCCCGGTTCGATTCCCAGCATCCCATATGGTCCCCTGAGCACCGCCAGGAGTAATTCCTGAGTGCATGAGCCAGGAGTAACCCCTGTGCATCGCCAGGTGTGACCCAAAAAGTTTAAAAAAAAAATTTCAGAAGTAGCACAGGGGGTAGGGCGCTTGCCTTGCACACAGCCAACCTGGATCCAGGTTCGATCTTCAGTACCACATATGGTTCCTGAGCCTCGCCAGCAGTAAACACTGAGGACCACCAAATGTGACCCCAAAACGAAAGAAACCACAGGCCACAGGCCACAGGCCAGGGGTGTGGCTTAGAGGCAGAGAGCCCACCTAACCTTGGGGTCAATCCCTGACACTATTAAAAAAAAAAAAACTAAACTAAAAATTAAAAACTTTTCTTCCTTGAAAATTACTGAGGAGGAAAAATTGCAAAAACAAGCTACAGACTAGGAGAAAGTATTTCCAAAACATATGTGATAAGGATTTTTGTCCAGAATGTATCTGAGAAGCAAAACAGTCGGTTAGTAAGGCACTTGCCTTCTGCGTGGCTGACCTGGGTTCAAGTCCCAATTTCCAGAATCCCATTTAGTCCCCCGAATCTACCAGGAGCAATCCCAAGCAGAGCCACAAATAAGACCTTAGCAATGCCAGGTATAGCCCCAAAACAAGCAAACAAAATAAAAAGCAAAGCAAGAAAAGCAAACAAGCAGATGATTCATAGAAAATACATGTATACGTGTGTGTGTGTGTATATATATATACATATACGTATATATACATATAGTATATATGTGTGTATGTTCATATATATACACATGTATATGTGTATCTACACACACACACACACACACACACACACGTTGAGCTGAGAATGTAGTTTTCAGTGTCATACAGTGCTGGCTGTACAGGTGTGAGGTCCTGGGTACAATCCAGTACCAAAAAAAAAAAAAATACGTGTGTGTGTGTGTGTGTGTGCACCCAAAATATGAGTTTATATATGCTCAAATACACACACACAGAATGAAAGCTTTCAAGATTTCAAAGGAGATACAAATGAGGAACCAAGGGTGCATGGGCAGATATAGGGGACACAGTGAGCAAGACTCTAGCCAAAACAGGGCTGGGAAAGGAATCAGTACTCACAGGCCCATGCTCTGACCTCAGGTGATACGCAAGTCCAGCCTTAGATCGATACACCTTGCCACAATGGTGACATGTCAGGGTCAGCTTCTCCAGCTCAGCAGCCTCTTTGCCACACTTTTTGACATGGTACAGATATCCCATGATGCTGGTAAAGCTACTAGAGCAACTCTGAGTTCAGAAGAAAGGAAGAAGCTTTAATCTTAGATCTTCTACTCTAACACAGTCAGAAAAACACTCAGCCCTCACGTGACACAGGCTGTGACCTGGCATTGCCATCTCCAACTTTTCCCATTGGCACAAACCCCATCCCTGTCCCTGGTCCAGTGGCCATTCTACCTAGAAAGCATGATAATCAATCTTTTGAGTCAGCAGTCAGTAATCTAGGACGGGGCATCTACCCCATGCGAGTTCCTGCTTCGTTCTACGATGCAATGCCACCCAGGTATCAAATGCGCAGCAACATCAAAGTTCCTCACGGAGGTAATGGGGTCCTTCATACCAGTCCATAAGAAAGGTACAAGGACACCCCATAAACTAAGGGGAAGGAGCAGAAAAACTGATTTTTGGATATGAGAGAGAAAATAAAGAACTTTTGGGTGCTGCCTTGCATGTGACCAACCTGGGTTCAATCCCCAGCATCCCCTCTGGTCCCATCAGGAATGATCCTGAATGAAGAGCCAGAAGTAAGCCCGGAGCACCGCCGGCTGTGGCCCACAAACCAAAACCAAACAGAAAATAAACGTTTAATGATTCACAGGGCAAGCAAGAGTCAGTATATTGGAGGCGGTGGTTTTAGATCACGTCCAACAGTGCTCGGGGCTCCACCTGGCTCCGTGCTCCAGCTTTTGAAGTGACTCTTCTTCTCCCTGGCCGCAGAAGTGACTCTTCTTCTGGAAGATGAGCCAGAACAAGAGGCCAGGAGGTAGCACACATCCCTAACAGGTTCAATCCCAGATCCCCAGATCCCCAACATCACAAGGCAGCCCTGAGCACGGCTGGGTGTGACCCCGGGCAGAGGCCACCCCAAGCACCAGCAGTTAAGTGTTTTCAGCTGACACTGGGTGAAGCTCTTCTGAAAGTGGACCAAGTTGGTTTTGTTTGTTTGTTTGTTTGTTTTCAAAAAGATGACACCCACTCAGGTCCCAAAAGGGAAAGCTGACAGATGGCAATGACTTTACAGCAAGACTTTGGCGCAGTCGACGCAGAGGTCTCACCTCACGTGTGCACCTGAGCTTCCCCAGCCTCTTGAGAACGGTGCGGAGCCTCTCCCTCTCACTTGGTTCATTGAATGTGTCCCCTCCAGCCTTCAAAATAGGCTAGAATGCAAGAGAAGCACACAAGCAGGTGATTCCGAGACACGACGGAAAGAGAATGAAATGATGTCAGGGGAGAATCAAAGGACTGAACTAGCACCTAAGCTGATGTCCGTGAAGTCTAAGTTATCTGCCTCGTGGCTTTCTCCATCTTCTCCTAGACAGACAAGGACGTGAACGGGATGCAAACACCAGGCCTAGGCCTCGCTCTCCCAGGACATGAACCTTGGGGGCCATCCTACATACAAATCACCCAAGGATCCACCAGGTGGGCCCAAGATACTCTTACCAAACTATTATGGTTTGCCATGACGTGGTACTTCATCCCTGCCAGTGAGCGAAGCTGTTTCCCACAGTGATGGCAAGTAAACATTTCCTACAAGGCAAACAGCACACGGTGTCAGATTGTGCAACAGAGTGAACAGAAAATCACAGAGTCCTACCCACATGCCCTCCTCGCTGTCTCCTTTATTCCCTAAACTCAGCGGTCACTGACTCTCAAAAACCCACAAGCCTGGTGTCATGTCCTTAAGGGCAAAGAAATAAAGGCAACTCCTGCTTACAGATAAAACACTACCACTGACTCAAGCCAGTATGTTCCAAGTTATTGCTTTCTTGTCTACTCAAAGTCTTGACCGTCCTTTTATATGTGAGGAAACCAAGTTTCACACAGGCAAAAAAGTAAATGACAATCGTCAGAGGCTGAAGGAAGACTAAAACCCCAAAGCCTGGAGAATGAGCATAGCAGGTCGGGTGTCTGCCTTGCACAAAGCTGACCTGGATTCAATCCCCGGCAACACATATCCCCTGAGCCCGCCAGGAGTGATCCCTGAGTATAGAGCCAGGAGTGACCTCTGAGTACTGCTGGGTATGACCCAAAAATGAAAAGAAAAATACAAGTCCAAAGCCTGGGTGGTCTCCGAGTGCCCCTTCTCCAACATCCTCAGCAAACCCAACCTAGTCCAGAGTTCTAAACGTCGGTCTAAGAGCATGGTGACTCCATGCAACTCCATGCAAGAGCTAACCTGTTTGCAGTTTTCCATATGTTTCTTCAGGCCCTCTATGGTCTTCCTCCCTACCGTCTGGCAGGTAGGACAGGAGACACTGCCTTTCTCCACGATCTCTAAGTACCACTGCTCCTCCACACTGCCTACAGAGAGAAGGAACACCATGACCCTCGCATTCTCTGCAAACAGAAGGCATCGTCTCAGAGCTGAGACGTGGCATCAAGGATTCTTGCCCTTTCTGAGAAAAAAGAGGCTCTTTCCTGGGACTTCCAGAAATAATTTCTTCAGGCTGCGAGGGGCTCCTGGAACTCCTACTCAATCCACCATGATAAAAAGAATCCAACAGGGGCCAGAGAGATGAATACAGGGGTAAGGCACCTTCCTTATATTTGGCCTTGCCCAGTTCGATCCCTGGAACCTTATGTGGTCCCCTGAGCACCGACAGGGATAACGTGATCCCTGAGCCCAGAGCCAGAAGTTACTCCTGAGCAAAGCTGGGTATGGCCTCCAACCCCCTGCAATAACCTCCCCCCGCCCCGTACACACACACACACACACACACACACACACACACACACACATACACACACACACACCCCAAACAAAAAACGCCCCCCACAGAATCCATTTATAATAAAATCAAAAACATATGAATATAAAAAATAAACACTCTAAATACCAATTGCTGGAGCTAAAACATAATACAAGACAAAGGAGGGCACTTGCCCTGCATGTGGCAGACCTGGGTTCGATTCCCCGCATCCCATATGGTCCCCTGAGTACCACCAGGAATAACTCCTGAGTGCAGAGCCAGGAGTTACCCCTGAGTACGCAAGCACCACCGAGTATAGGTCAAAAACCAGAAAATAAAAAAATAAAAGCCAATTGCTTAAAGAAACAGGTAATATTTCCCCCAGTTTAATTAAGATATTTAGTCAAATTTTTAAAATATTGTCCTTTCTGATAATGGAGACTCTTAAATGTGTATAACTGGGGCTGGAGCAATAGCACAGCGAGTAGGGCATTTGCCTTGCATGCAGCTGACCAGGGTTCGATTCCCAGCATCCCATGTGGTCCCCCAAGCACCGTTAGGAGTAACCCCTGTGCAACGCTGGGTGTGACCCAAAAACAAAAAAAAAAAATGTGTATAACTTCCAAAAATGATTTGTGGCAACTCCCACTCCCCTAAAAGAAGAAAATGTAGTAAGAGTCAGAATTTGAATTCTCGTCTGCCTGATCTTTAAACCCATGCTCCTGATAACAGCCACCTTGAAAGAAAAGTTTTTGGGACCATAAAGACTGTACAGCAGACAAAGCACTTGCCTTGAACAAGCCGAAACCACACTCTATATGTTCCCAGAAGCCCCGCCGTAAGTGAGCCCTGAGTGCGGAGCCGGGAGTAAGCCCTGAACATCACCAAGCAGAGCCCAAAAAAGCAAAAAAAAAAAAAAAAAAATCTTGGTAATTCTTTTTTTGTTTGTTTTTTGGGTCAGACCTGGCGATGCGCAGGGGTTACTCCTGGCTCTGCACTCAGGAATTACTCCTGGCGGTAGCTCAGGGGACCATATGGGATGCTAGGAATTGAATCCGGGTTGGCCGCATGCAAGGCAAACGTCCCACCCGCTGTGCTATCACTGCAGCCCCAGATCTTGGTAATTCATTTCCGTACCAACAATGTGATCCCAGAAAAGCTTTTAGAGCATACGTACCTGCGGCGTAAACTGGTGGTTCCTTCCGAATACGACGAGTCTGGGATTTAGAATTAGACTGAGTTTTAGGCCGTTGCCTCCTCCCTGATATAAGAGAGAAATGGGAAGCCCAAAAGATCACTTTTCCTAGCCCCTGATATCAAAATCTTCTCCCTCCTCCCTCAATATGCTAAGCCAGCTTTCTTTAGCCATTTTTAACCCCTGCAGACCAACACATGTACTGCACACTGGTTCTGACCAAGGTAATGGAACAGCACATTTTAACCTGCCTACCCCTGTGGATAGGCTCCAGCCTGCAGGCCAGTTGGCGCAGGCCAGTGCTCTATGCCCCTAACCCCTCAACCAACCTTTGAAGGGGATGGCAGAACTGAAGCCTTTCTTTGCCCCAAAATTCAAGGGGCTCAAAAGCACTTCAAGACCCAGGAGAGCTGCAAGGTCCAAACCCAAGATCCTGCTCCCTTTGATCCTCCGAGACTCAAGTCCAGGACCTGGCCTTACCATAGAGCTTATGCTTCTTCTGAGGAAATTCGAGATAGTCTTCATCTTCTTCCTGCTTGGCTTTTCTTTTCCCTTTGGGTGATAGACCACCTGACCCTGAAATATCACACAAAAACTCACTGTGGCTGCAATGAGCAGTGGGGTCTGTCTCCAAAACATCATTCCAAAGGGCACCAGAGGAAAACCTCATCCTGGAGTGCAGAGCCCAACAGAAGTATTTGAAACAGGGGCCAGAGCCATAGTATAGCAGTAGGGCATTTGCCTCGCACACGACCAACCCAGGTTCGATCCCAGGCATCCCTTTTTGTCCCCTGAGCATGGTCAGGAATAATTCCTGAGTGCGGAGTCAGGTATGACCCCTAACGCAAAATAAATACCTGAAACATTTTTAGAGAAATAGATAGAACTTTTCGTCAACTGACTCAACTCCCCTACCTGATTGTTATCTATCTCAAATGACTCCACCACTCCCCAGAAATAACCGGGGCTTTCAGACAGTGCCTTGTTTGGTCATGACTAGAGGCTAACACAGAAGCAGAATTATTCCAGAAAATGGGTTATTATGGACTCTTAAGACTCTGATCCTATAACTGTACCTCATGGTGTTTCACTAATAAAAAAATAAATAAAATGAATTTCTCTTTAAGAAGCGAAAGCACAAAGATGTGTGTTAAGACTCAGTGAGGTTCACATCACCTTTCCTTGTTTTTGTACATGCTTTTGAAAGCTGGAAACTGCACAAATAAAAAGATTATGAATTATCAAAAAAAAAGACTGACCCACTATGAATATTATACCTAGACTGACTCTTATAACAGTACAGAAATCCTAAGAAGAATAAGTGGGCTAGATGTTCAATTCACACGGAGTGAAAGGCAGCTACCAGGATCATCCACAAGCGCAAAATCAGCAGAATTTCACAATTCACAAAGTCAACAGTATGGGATAATCTAACAACTTCTTAAAAAATAAAAAAAAATAATAACTTTTTCCCTTCTGGAGAAATCTGTGTTCTCTCTTGAACGGATACCTTCTCTGTCAGTCTCATCTCTCTCTAAATTTCCTTTAATAAAAACTACTTGACTGGGGCTGGAACAATAGCATAGTGGGTAGGGCGTTTGCCTTGCATGCAGTCAACCTGGGTTTGAGTCCCAGCATCCCAAATGATCCACTGAGCACACTGCCAGGAGTAATTCCTGAGTGCATGGGCCAGGAGTAACCCCTGAGCATCACTGGGTGTGACCCAAAAAGAAAAAAAAAACCCTACTTTACTTCCCTAGAAAAAAAAAATTTTGAACCTGCAGAGGTGAGACAATCCAGCCACTGTATTGCATGCGGCTTACCCCAGTTCCACGTCTGGCACTACCATAAATACCATAAATTACCCCTAAGCACGGAGCCAGGAATAGCCCCTGAGCACCACGAAGAGTAGCCTCCAACTTCCCACGCTGAAATTTTTTAACATGTAAGGAGGGGGAACCCCACTACTTCAAAATGTAATTTTGCAGGTAAGGGGAGTAAGATGTCTCTGGAGTGAGATGCTAACATGGATACCTTCCATACGGTCCGCACCAGCAGACTTGAGTTTCCTCATCTTCAACCAGCAGTTAGATTTTTGTAAAGGTGCTGGAAAGTCGCCCACTGGTTCACAGGAAGAGGCGGATGAAGAGCCACTTAAGGAGTCATCGTGAGGGACGGTATACTGGAAACTATTATCCTTTATAGGGCACTGACTTCTGCAATGATTAGGAGAAAAGATACACACCCCAAAAGAGGGGTGGGAACAAAGTTCTCATTAATCAGTTTATGTAAGAAGGCCATCAACTTACCTGTGCAAAAACTAAGCAGAATTTAGAATATAGTACTCTCCTTAACAATTACAACAGCTCATCAGATACAACTGCTATTAAACTTCATTGCAAAGAGTAAGAATAAAAATTCTGGGGCTGAAGCGATAGTACAGCGGGTAGGGCATATTGCCTTGCATGTGGCTGGCCCAGGTTCAATCTCCGGCATCCCGTATGGTACCCTAAGCACTGCCAGGATTCCTGAGTGCAGAGCTAGGAGTAATCCCTGAGCATCAGCTGGTGTGACCCAAAAAGGAAAAAAGAATCCACATAAGTGACAATCACTCTGCAGCCCAAGGAAGCAGTTCTTCCTAGATGTACCAAAATAAAGTAAGGTAAGAGGGGGTTTGTGCAATACAAAATGCATTATTTCGGTTCTGCTTTGGGGCAGGATTGGGGTCAGGATGGAAACATCCGCAATAGGGTGGTAAGAAGGTGTTATGGTGGTGGGCCTGGTGTTCAAATATTAAATGTAATCAAACATTGTGAACTACTTTATAAAAAATAAATTTTGACTTTTTTTTATAAAAAGAGGGGGACTGTGTGCCTTCAGGAGATCCCAATATGCTAGAAAGAGTGCAGTGGATGGGTAAGGCATCTGCCTTGCACGCAGCTCTCCCTGGCCTGATCCCCAGCGCCATAGATCCGAACACTGCCAAGCGTAATCCTTCAGCATCATCAGTGTGGCCCCCAAAGCCACACAGAAGGTTCCCTGAATCTTTAGCCAGATGTGTACAGCTGTACTTCTCTGACAGAGGCTCAGTAACTAACGAGTGTCCCGAGGGCTGGAGAGATAGTACAGGGGCCAATGCACTCACACAGCCCACCCAGGTTCCAAGCTAGCACTGCATAGGGGCCCCTGAGTAGCCCCAGCAGGGAAATCTCAGCAGAACCACCAGAAGTCAGCCCTGAGAGCCGCTAGATGTGCCCCGCCCCCAAAAGAGAGCGAGAAAAAGAGAACAGTGGTGAAAATGAAAGAGCAAGGATTTGTAGGCCCCAATCAGGTCTTCTTCTCCTGAGCCTCGTCCTAACCCTCATGTCAAGGCTAGCCTGCCTGATTCAGGTACCGACACTCAGTGTCCATAGCTAAAGGAATGGCACTAGCTTGTCTTTTGTTTCTGTTTTTGTTTGGGGGCCACACAGAGTGGTGCTCATGGATTCCTCCTGGCTCTGCATTCAGGAAATCACTCCTGGCATGGTCCTGGGGGACCATATGGGACACGGAGGATCCAACCTTGGATGGTCAGATGCAAAGCAAATGCCCTCCCTGCTGCACCATCTCTCCAGCCCCCGCTAGCTTGTCTTGAGTTAAGCTGGCCAGAGAAGTCTGGTGTATAACTGAGCCAACTTTTCCAATCAGAAAACCAGTTAGCATGCAGTGAGCAAACACTTCTGGGTAAACAACGTCTGTTTCCAGAAGAGGCTCAGGACGCCACAGAGGGCCAGTTCTCCATGGAGACCAAGAACCTCCAGGGCATTCCATTTCCAGCAGGACATCTGAGTGAGGCCAGCTTTGCTCTTCTGGGTTAAGTCACTCAGGCAGCTGGACGGAAGATAACCCCTGAGGGACGGGTGAAGAGAAAGTGTTGGTTCCTTCCAAAGATGATGAGGTGGCTAGAATGAAGGTTTTTATAGCAGAGATGCAAGGTGGCTGATTCATAAATCACTTGTGGGCCAGAAGATAGCACAGCGTGGAGGGTGTTTGCCTTGCACGCGACCAACCCGGGTTCGATCCCTGGCATCGTATATGGTCCCCCAAACACCACCAGGAGTAATTCCGGAGTTCAGAGCCAGGAGTTAACACCTAAGCATTGCTGGGTGTGACCCAAACAGCAAAAAATTAATAAATCACTTGATTTGAAAATCAAGTCATATATTTATAATCAAATACTGCCACACAGTTCTTGATTCTGATAATCAAGAATTTCTGTTTAGCCCCATGAGAACAGAAGTACCTCTCAGTGGGAACACCATTATCCCAAACACCAAATTATCCCAAAACCTGACTCCTAGGAGCCATGTAACAAACATCCTTTGAGTAAGGAAATAAGTAATGCTCTGGGCTCAAATCTTATTAGCATTATTCTAGTAATTACTCAGCTGCGGAAGCTGTGTGGCTTGACTCCCAGCGCCTATGGGAGTAGCTTCTCAGCATCACCAAGGGTGGCCCCAAAATGAAAGGGAACAAGAAACCCTGAACCAGAGACAGGGCTCGAACAGGCTGGAGTGCACTCTGCACGTAAGAAGCCCCATCATACATGACACCACACGGAAGCCCAAGCAGATAGCTAGGAGGAGCCCCCTCAGCATCACTATGCGAGGCCTACAGCCCCTTCCTGCCCCCCCCAGCAAATTCTGAGAGAAGATTTGTCAACTCAAAATTGTATAGTCAGCAGTAACAGAAATTTTGAGGGCAGGTGCTGGAGAAGACAGCTCAAGTTTCAGACCCCCAGGCCCAGCCTGTGTGAATCTGAGTTTCAACGCTGGTACCACATGGTCCCCAAGCACTGGTTGGTTATAGCTCCTACTTGAAAAGGGGCGAAGGGGCGCAGGCAGGAGACAGTACAGGGGTTAAGGTGCTCACTTTGCGTGTGGCTGGATCCCTAGCGCCACATATGGTCCCCGAAACACCACCAGGAGTAATCCCTGAGCACAGCCAGGTGTGCCCTGAGACCCAAAATATATGTATTAGTATAATAATAAAGTAAAAAGCAATGGAAATTGTAAAGGGCTGGTTAAATAGAAATCTTTAAAGATCCCCCATTGTCTTAATATACGTAGCTCTATCACATGGGGCAAGAATGTGGCTTGGCAGTAGAGAATGTGCTTGCATGGGGCGGCCCTGGTTGGATCCCTGGCACCACAAATACAAAACACAGGCTCCTGGTTACCTAGCAGCTTTGAGGAATCAATATGGTTAGGAGGCTTCCACTTCATCTGAGTGAAGTGGTCGGATATTAACTCTGGCTGAACCTGAAAAGGTAAGCATGTAACACGGTAATTCCTAGACATACCACTTAATAGAAAAGAGAAAATGTAGAGGAACATGGGCTGGAGCAATAGTACCGTGTCTACAGAGTACTTGCCTCGCATGTGGCTGACCCAGGTTCGATCCCAGCATCCCATAGGGTCCCCTGAATAACACCAGGAGTGATTCCTGAGTGCAGAGCCAGGAATTACCCCTCAGCACCATCAGGTGCAGCCCCCAAAACAACCCCTCCCCCAAAAAAGGGAAGATAAAGAGGAACAAAGTACAGAGGAACAAAAAACAGGATAGGGAGAGAATAATGATAGACATAAATGCAATCACATCAATAATTTAAAGTTTATTATTTAAACACTGGTTAGAAGTCAGAGATTAACAAGGGGGAGGGGCAGCAATACCTTTATTTTATATGCTGCATATAAGAAGCACATTTAAAGTATAAAAAAAAGAGTAGGAGTAAATGAATTAAAATATATATATATATATATATATATATACACACACAACGCAATCAACAATTACAAGACGTGAGTGGCCTTATTTGAATACTGGATAAACTTGATAAACTTTGTCTTTAAGACAAAGAGTACTGACAAAGATTTTTTTAAAAAAACGGGGTGGGGGTGAACACTGGAACACTTCATGGGATCACAACAACAGTAGAGCAGGTAAGGCGTGTGCCTTGCACATGGCCAACCAGGATGGGATCCCCAGAGCCTACCAGGAGTGATCCCTGAGCTCAGAGCCAGGAGTAAACCCTGAGCACCATCGGTGTGGCCAAAAACAACAGCAAAAAGAACTCCCAAAGAAAGAACTCAGGTCCAAGAGTATTTTGCTAGTGCTGAATGTCACTGCAGGGCCAGACGGAGAAGGCAAGGGCTGGGTGCAGGCGCAGCACAGGAGACCCGGGCCTAAGCTCAGGCCTCTGAGCACTTCCTAGAGAGCTTCCCGAGCACAGCACTGGGAGCAGTCCCAGAGCATGGCTGGTGTGGGCCAAACAAACAAAAATAAACAAAATTCAGAAGGGGGAATAGGATAGACATAAGGAGCAAAGGGGGTAGGAGTAAAGTTTATGCCCCACTCGCAACATATACAATTACTCAAAAAAATATTTGCAGGCGGCAGAGTTCCACACGCTATCACACAAGAACACAGCAGTGGGGCCCAGGAGAGAGCTCGGTGTGGGAAGCAGGCCCAGATCAATCCCCAAACAGTCCACCCAAAGCACCATCAGGAGTGACCCCTGAGCTAGGACCAGCCCCAAAGCACCAGCAGGTGGTCACATGAAAACAAAACAAGAAACATAAAAAGTCAATTGTATCATTGTTAGCAACTGTGCAGCTAGAAAATGAACTTGTAAAACCATTTACAATAACATTTAAAAAAAAACATACGAAGCAGGGGAAAATCTAGCAAGTAACAAGACTTTCACAAGGAAAACTATAACACACAGGTGAAAGAAATTAAAGGAAATCTAAATAAACAAAAAATAGCATGCTCAATAAAGCAGACATCTCAATGCTGTTAAATTGGCAATGCTCCCCAAAATGATCCCGAATTCATTATTCATGGATAATACATAATTCGTGGATAATTCGTCACTACTCCCGCCCTTATAGGAACTGACTGATTCTCCTATTCATATAGAAACACAAAGAACCCAAAATAGCCAGAACAATTCTGAGAAAGAACAAACAGTGGTCTAAAGCTACAGTATCCACATAATTTAGAATCGAAAGACTAGCGTCATCAATGAAAGAGGAAAGAAAATCCAGAAATAGACCCACCCAAATACAGGTCCCACTGACTTTTGAGACAGGTGCCAAAGAACTGAAGAGAAAGTCTGATGTACACCTGAAATTTATGTTATGAAGGAATGTTACATCAGTTAAAAATGAAAATC